GAGAGAGAGAGAGAGAGAGAGAGAGAGAGAGAGAGAGAGGAGGGGAGGGACGGAGAGAGAGAGAGAGAGGGAGAGAGAGGGAGAGAGAGAGAGAGAGAGAGAGAGAGAGAGAGAGAGAGAGAGAGAGAGAGAGAGAGAGAGAGAGAGAGAGAGAGAGAGAGAGAGAGAGAGAGAGGAGGGGAGGGACGGAGAGAGAGAGAGAGAGGGAGAGAGAGGGAGAGAGAGAGAGAGAGAGAGAGAGAGAGAGAGAGAGAGAGAGGAGAGAGAGAGAGAGAGAGAGAGAGAGAGAGAGAGGAGGGAGAGACGGAGAGAGAGAGAGAGAGAGAGAGAGAGAGAGAGAGAGAGAGAGAGAGAGAGAGAGAGAGAGAGAGAGAGAGAGAGAGAAAGATAGGTAGATAGAGAAGGGGAAGGGAGATAGATAAATGGGTAGATCGAGAGAGAAGAGAGAGAAAGAGGGTGGGAGATAGATAAATTGACAGATAGAGTTAATAGGTTAATAAAGACCGACAAATAGAAACATAGATAGGTAGTTAGATAAATAGAGTGATTGATGGATAGATAGATAGATAGATAGATAGATAGACAGAGCGAGAGAGAGATATCAAAGTGGCATGGTGTATATATTCCCTTTAACACCGACAAAAATATTATCAATATCGGCCATGAACGTCAAAATAAATCAGGGGTCATAGATTGTTATATTTCATTCAACGTTCATCTAATCCCTTATAATCTTATTAATTACTAGTTTGATAATATCCAGAGACAAAAAATCACAGGAGTATAAACAGTAAACGTAATTTACATTGGGTTAAAAAAAATACACGTGTGATTTTTTTCTTGAAGTTGGTTAAATGTCGATTTGTATATTGGTATAACTTTTTTTTTCCCACATTAATCTTTATGCTTCATTATAACGGGCACTCAGTCATTTTCTCTCTCTCTCTCTCTCTTTCTCTCGCTGTCTACATAACTCTCTATATATCTATGTATCTATCTTTCTTTGTATCTGTCTGTCTACATATCTATCTATCTGTGTTGACATCTATATGCGTATAGCACATATGCACATACATACATCTCTCTCTCTCTCTCCCTCTCCCTCTCTTTCTCTGTCAATTCTTAAAATTCCCACACATATGCACATACATACATCTCTGTCTCTGTCTCTGTCTCTCTCTGTCTCTCTCTCTCTCTCTCTCTCTCTCTCTCTCTCTCTCTCTCTCTCTCTCTCTCTCTCTCTCTCTCTCTCTCTCTCTCTCTCTCTCTCTCTATCAACTTATCTACTTCAGGTTTCACAGCTAAATGTCCTTTTCACACAAACACGAAGTCGACGGCAAGTGAGGTCACTCGGGGTCATGTCTGCGTTCATCCCGACTTCCGGCTGAGGGGGCAGACAGAGCACGTGTGGGAAGGGGGAGGAGGGGGGGGGGGAGGGTTACATGTATGATGTGTCCAGAATGTACTTGTGCGAGTCCTTAGAGCTATATATATGTGTGTGTGTGTGTGTGTGTGTGTGTGTGTGTGTGTGTGTGTGTGTGTGTGTGTGTGTGTGTGTGTGTGTGTGTGTGTGTGTGTGTGTGTGTGTGTGTGTGTGTGAGGTGTGTGTGTGTGTGTGTGTGTGTGTGTGTGTGTGTGTGTGTGTGTGTGTGTGTGTGTGTGTGTGTGTGTGTGTGTGTGTGTGTGTGTGTGTGTATGTGTGTGTGTGTGTGTTTGTGTGTGTGTTTGTGTGTGTGTGTGTGTGTGTGTGTGTTTGTGTGTGTGTGTGTGTGTACATATATTAATAGAAGAAGAAGAAGACGAAGAAGAAGAGGAGGTGGAAAAAAATGAAGAGAAGGAGGAGAGAGAAGAAGAAGAAAAAGAAGAAAAGAAAAACTACAACAGAAAGAGGAAGAATAGAGGAATAACGAAACTTGGAGAAACCAGAAGAGGAGGAAGAGGATAAACACGAAGAAGAAAAGGAAAAAGAAAAATACATGAAAGAGGGAAATGAACAAGAAAAGGAAGAGGAAGAGGGAAAGGAAGAAAGAAAGAATTGGAGGAGGATGAACAAGAAGAAGAAGAAAACAAAACAAAACAGAAAGAGGAAAATAAAGCAAGAAGAGGAAGAAGAAAGACAATAAGAATTGGAGAAACAAGAAGAGGACGAGGAGGAGAAGGCGAAGGAGAAGGAGGAGGAGGAGGAGGAGGAGGAGGAGGAGGAGGAGGAGGAGGAAGAGGAGGAGGAGGAGGAGGAGGAGGAGGAGATAGAGGAGGAGGAGGAGGAAGAGGAGGAGGAGATAGAGGAGGAGGAGGAGGAGGAGGAGGAAGAAGAAGAGGAGGAGGAGGCGGAGGAGGAAGAGGAGGAGGAGATAGAGGAGGAGGAGGAGATAGAGGAGGAGGAGGAGGAGGAGGAAGAAAAAGAGGAGAAGGTGATAGAGGAAGAGGAGGAGGAGGAGGAGGAAGCGGTGGAGGAGGAGCGAGTGAGGAGCACCTGCGGACGTTGCTGCTCAGGGTCCTTTGATCCGCCGACGACAATTACACCTGACCACTGACACCTTCTCTCTCTCTCTCTCTCTCTCTCTCTCTCTCTCTCTCTCTCTCTCTCTCTCTCTCTCTCTCTCTCTCTCTCTCTCCCTTACTCTCTCTCTCTGTCTCCAGTCCCTCCACCCCTTCCCTCCTTTCTCTAACCCCCCCTCTCCCCTCCCTTCCCCTCAGCTACACCCCCCCCCCAATATTCAACCAAAGTTCCCCCAATTCCCCCCCCCCCCCTCGGCGGTTGTCCAGCCTGTCCGTCCTTTTCCTCTTCCTCACTTCCTCCTTTAAATAGGCCTAATTGCCTCTCCTCTTCCTCTTGATTAGGCCTAATTCTTCCCCTCTCCCCCCCTCCCGTCTTTAAAAAATCTGAATTCTCTCTCTTTTTTTTTCTTTCTCTCTTTTATTCTCTCTCTCCTCCTTCCCTTCGCCTCTCCCCCTCCCCCATACCTTCATGAGTTTAATAGCTGGCACTTTTCCTATTCGCTGTCACACGGTACTCACATTAAACTACACTCATCTCCCTCCCAAATACCATCTTGCCTACTCTTCCCTCCCTTTTACGGCTCAATCAACGTAAAACGTTCTACAACCCACCTCCGTCCCTCCGGTGCTCTCCGGTTCGATAACATTTCATCAATGATACTCCTCGTCCTAACCTCCTCTAGTCCCCTTCAACATTGCATCCAGATCTCAGCCATTTGCTCTCACACTCACATCTAATTAACAGACAAGCACATACAGATGACTCTACATCTCTCACCGTCCT